GTGATGTTAGCTGTAGGTTTGTGGTAAGTGATATGGTTATGAAGTTGAAAAAGCTCCCCTCTATTCCTAGTTTACTAAGTTTTATCATAAATGAATGTTGGGTTTTGTCCCATGCTTTTCCTGAATCTATTAATATGCTCACATAATTTTTATTTATTAGTCTATTGACCTGATGGATTCTAATAATTAACTTTAAGTTGTTGAACCAGCTTTGCGTAATTGGGATTAACCCCCGTTGATTGTAGTGCATAATTTATTTTATGCTTTTGGGAGTTTAATTTGCTAAAATTTTGTTGAGGATGCTGTGTCTGTGTTTGTGAGAGATACTGGTCTGTAGTTTCCTTGCAATGTTGTTGCCTGGTCTTGGTGTTCAGATAGGGCTGGCCTCACAGAATGCGTTTGGAAGTGGTCCTTTTGCTTCTATCCTCTGAAAGAGATTATAAAGAATTAGTATAACTTCTTTCTTACTTCTTTGTATAATTCACCAGTGAACTCATATGGACCTGTTGCTTCCTCTTTTGGAAGGTCATTAATCATTTATTTAATTCCTCGAATAGATACAAGACTATTCAGATTACCTATTTCTCCTTGTGTGAGTTTTAGCAGATTATATCTTTCAAGGAATTGGTCTCTTCCATCTAGTTGTCAGATTTTTTGGCATAGAGTTGATCATAGTATTCCTTGATTATCTTTTTAATGTCCATCAGATCTATAGTAATGTCTTCTCTTTCATTTCTGGTATCAGTAATAATTATCCAATCACATTTTTCTTAGTTCTGCTGGCTAGAGATTTATGAATTTTATTGGATAAAGCATTTTTTCAAACATAATTTTATTCTAATACTTATTCACTAATATAAACAGGCTTGAACTACATCTTTGCCTCATAAATCCAGATTCTGTTTGATCAAGTGAGGTATGTCCTAAGGTCTTTAGGCTCTTATGTTCAATACAAAATACCAATTCCCCTAAGAAAGTAGTTTCCAAATTTTGGTCCAAAAATCACCTGCATCAATATCAACTGATGAGCTGGAGCTGAGATTGTTAGTTAGAATATTTGATTTCTTGCTGCAGCCAGATACCAAGAATCAGATACTCTTCAGGTGGGGCAGGGACTCACAGTCTACGCCTTTTCCAGAGTGACTTTTGGTACACTGAAGTGTGCCTTATGTATTCTTTACAAATACAATGGCTACATAAATTAAGTCCTTTCTCTCTTCACTCCTGTCTTTCAATCACTCAGTTAGGATTTCAAAATACACATGGAAAGTACAGTGATGATCTATAAAAATTTCCAATGTGATTTCATAAGATAACAAGTTTATTAAAAATTGAAGGTAATTTTAGTAAGCCATTAAGTATACAGCTTAGTATAGATAGAAAATGTTTCGGGAGGTCTAGTGTGGGAATACCTGCTCTCATCTTTGTGTTCAGCAAGTTTTTAGTAGAGGAAAGGGATTAAAAGTAGACTTTTGAGAGAATGGGTTGCCTTAAAATCAATATTAGGAAAAAGAAGTAAGCAAAAAATGAAAAAGAACAAGGCAAGTTTGCAGATCAATCATTGGTGTGCTAAAAGCAATGTCTTCTCCAAGTCTGGGTAATAAAAAGGGACATTATCTGTATCAAATTTTCAAATAATAACAAACTCATCAAAAGCCAATCTGCTTTTTTATTTTTTTTTCCTGCTTTAATTAGATGTAATTGGCACAGGACATTATACACATTTAAATTGTATAATGTGGTAAATTGATATATCTCTATATTGTGAAATTTTAACGCAGTTAGGTTGGTTAGCACCTCCACCACCTCACACATGTGTGTGTGTGTTAAGAACACTTAAGGTCTACTGTCTCAGCCACTTTCAAGTATACAAGACAGTACTGTTGATCACAGCCACCGGGCTGTGCTCTGGACCCCCAGGGCGTCTTCCTTTTACAGCTGAAAGTTTATGCCATTTCATCACTTTCACCCATCAGCCCCCTACTGCCAGTTTGCAAAACAATACAATTTTAAACTATTTCAGTGCTAAAATACTTAATCCTCTAAAAAAATTGCTGGTCTAAATTCTGTTACTTTTAAGATTTAGTAACCTATGTGCGTGCTTCCGAGGAGCATTTTTAGATTACTTATCCTTAATATAAGTTGTATTCCACATGATAGTTATTTCAGAGAACTCAGCTACATGTGTCTGTTTGGAGAGTAAGTCTGCAAAGTTTGAGGATCATATTAGCTTGCTTTGGACACAGGACAGGTCTCGAAATCCTGTGGTAATACATGTGCTGGTGTTTAAACAGTAGATTTGAAATAGAAAATGATAGAACAGAAACAACAATTCATTTCAGCCACCACAAAATATAACAAACTGGATATTATATCACAAAGAAATCAAAATTTGAAGAATACCAGAAGGAATAGCCAAAAATGCTAGTCTTATGTGTTCATAAAATTTTTAAAAGGTAATACTTGAGTACCTTTATGGTTTCCAGCAAGAAATATATACTCCTAAAAAGCAGTAAATAAAATAATGCCAGTGTTTGCTTTCATTCTATCATTTTCTCTGATGTTTGGGAAAAACGTTTAAAATTTTAACAAAAAATAGTAATTTATAATAAATTTTCTAATAAATTTCTTTTTATAGCGTTATAATTGGCATAACATTATATTCATTTCAATTATACAGCATAATGATTTGATATTCGTATATATTGCAAAATGATCACAATAAGTCTAGTTAACGTTTGTCACCACATATAGTTTCAGATTTTTCTCCTTCCTGTGCGAAGACTTTAAGATTTACTCTCTTAGCAACTTTCAAACATGAAATACAGTATTAATTATAATCACCATGTTGTACATCATATCCCATGACTTATTTATCCTGTAATTGGAAATTTATACCTTTGGACTCTCTTCATCCGTTTTACCCACCCACCCCCACCCCAAACCCTCACCTCTGAAAACCACTAATCTATACAGTATCTATAAGCTTTGTTCCTATGTTTTTCTTTTGTCTTAAGATTCCATATATAAGTAAGATCATATGACATTTGTCTTTCTTCTTCTGATTTATTTCACTTAGCAAAATGCCCTGAGGTTCCATCCATATTTTTTTTAGAGAAACAATCTTTTTTATGCCTAATGGTATTTCATTTTATATATATATATATATATACACACACATATACATACAATTCTTCTTTAAAAATTCATTGGTTGTTTACATATCTTGACTATTGTAAAAAATACTTCAGTGAACATGGGGAGCATATATTTTTTCAAATTACTGTTTTTGTTTTCTTGGGATAAATTTCCAGCAGTGGAATTGCTGGATCATATGGTGGTTCTATTTTTAATTTTTTGAGAAATCTCTGTGCTGTTTTCCATAGTGTGGTAAAATTCTCCCGTGACTTTTTTTTTGTACAGAAATATTTAAAAGCTATAAGAATCAAATCTGGAGAAATAAAAACATGGATGGTATTTTAATTTCTGAAATTTATTGTATAATGGATATTTTATGAATCTCTATCAAACTTATCATTCTGCTAAAGAACTTTTAATGTATCTTTTCTTCATGTGAAGGAAAACTTTTTGAGTTTAAAAGTATTCTTTGATCAGCTATTAATGAAGATAAATGGACAAATCTGGTTTTACTCTCTGCTGAACATGATCATGCAAAGATCAATTTTGACAGTCATTGACAAATTGGCAGAAGTTAATGTTCAAAAACAGAAATTGTAATTTTATAATTCTCTGTTGTGATAAACATGGTTATAATTTCCTTGCATTATGCCACTTATGTATACCCTGATCAATTATGCTATTGTTTCATATATTTTAAAGTTTTCTATAACTTATATCATACCATAATATATTTTTCTGAAACTATGTTTATTCATTTAATGCTGTGTTTGTGAGTCATCTATGTTGATATATGTGGTGTTAATTTATTTGTTTTCACTACTCTGTCTTGCACAATGGCATGAATACATCTTTTCGAATGCATCTTCCTGTGGGTGAATGTTTATATTGTTTCCAAATTGCTGCCACTGTCTCCCTAGGGCCATACCCTTATAGCTATGCGTAAAGCAACTCAATTAGAGGATATACATTTCTTAAACTTTACCAGATATGCCATATTATTCTTCAAGATATTTATATAAATATATATTCTCACAAGCAATGAGTCAAACTTCCAACTGCAATCAGTTTTTAACTTTTTCAAATCTGTGTGCAAAA